TCGAGTAGATCAATGATCCTCAAAAATAAATAATTAAAAATAACATACCTGAAAATCCGGATGTTACATCTTCGGCCGAAAAGTTAGCCGATATTTATGTCATTGAGATTGTTGCTCGCCATGGGGTCCGATTTCCATTGTTTCCGACCAAGATGTGCGGCTCTCTTCTCGATTATGGAAGAAGTTCCACGAGGAACTGGGCATGAGGCTACACTTCAGCACTGCATATCATCCGCAGACCGACGACCAAAGTGAGTGGAAGATACAGACCCTTGAGGATATGTTGCACACCTGTTTTATTCATTTTGTTGGGAGTTGAGATTCCTACCTACCTCTTGCGGAGTTCTCATACAACAATAGTTATCACTCTAACATTGGTGCTACGCCATTTGAGCTCTTGTATGGTCGGAGGTGTCGCTTCCCGGTTTGTTGGGGAGAGGTTTGGTCACAGGGTTATGGGAAGGACCGAAGTAGTCCTTCAGACCACAGAGCTTATCCAACAGATCAGGCAGAGATTGCAGACAACTCAGAGTCGGCACAAGAGTTATGCTGACCGACGTCGATCAGAGTTGGAATTTTAGGTCGGCGATATGGTGCTTCTGAAGGTCTCACCCTGGAAGGGTGTGATACGCTTCAGGAAGAGGGGGAAATTGGGTCCCTGGTATATTGGACCTTTTCGGGTGATTGCCAGGGTTGGCAAGGTAGCTTACAGGTTGGATCTAACTGAGGAGCTCAGTCAGATTTGCAACACTTTCCATGTTTCGCAGTTGTGAAAGTGTGTATTGGATGATGAGGCAGTGGTTTCCTTGGAACTCACTGAGCGTTATTTGGTTATGTGTCGGTACTTTAGGAGAACTCACTGAGCGTTGGCTTACAGTTTTGGGTTATGTTTCAGGTACTTCAGATGACCGTGGGAAGGCGAAGGCGTGACCGTACATATCCTCTGTTTATGATCTATGATTTTGGGAAACTCTGATGACAGAAATGTTTTGAAAACTATTTTGTAAACACTTTATGGTTTTGGGGTTGTATTTAAAAAGTTTAAATTTATTATGATTTTTATGGATATTACTAAATGGGGGATGAATGTAGGTTGCACTTGATCCCACATCAGCTTGGAAGGAGAACTAAACATTTCCTTATAAGGGGTGTGGATACCTTCCTTGACACAAAGCGTTTTAAAACCGTGAGGGCAACAGGTCCCATAAGAACTCTGCAGTTAAGCGTGCCCGTGAGAGAGCAATTTAGGGATGGGTGACCCCATGGGAAGTTTTTGTGTCAGGAGCCTAAAGCAGACAATATTGTGATACGTGTCATATGGGGGTGTTACAATTGGTATCAGAGGTAGGGTAGGATTCGATGTGTTCGACAGGGACGTCGAACCCAATAATGGAGGTGAAGGTAGGTTGCACCTGATCCCACATCGGGTTGGAAGGAGAACTAAGTATTTCCTTATAAGGTGTGTGTATACCTTCATTGATACAACGCGTTTAAAGTCGTGAGGGCAGTAGATCTCATAAAAACTTTGCAGTTAAACGTGCTCGAGCGAGAACAATTCAGGGATAGGTGACCCCCTGTGAAGTTATTTTAAAAAATCCAAAAAATACAAATAACAAAGTTCCATCAGTCCTCATAAAATGTCTTAGGGGGTGTTTGAGATTGCTTTTCAAAACAGTTGGCTTTTTGAAAAGCCATTAAGTCAAAAAAAAGGTTTGACAAACTCAAAAACACTTTTAAAAATAACTTTTCTATTAGCTTCAAAAAGTTGTTTTTGAAAAGCATATAAAACTTAGCTTTTTAAAACTATTTATGGTTTTTTAACCAAAATAACTTCAGAAATGAGTTTTTAAGCCAAATACTTTTTAACTTATTGACTTACTGACTTTTTCACCATAAAAACTAATCCGAACACTTTTAAAAAAACTTATTTTACCACCACTAGAAGCCAATAATCATTTTTGTCTAAAAACAGTTTTAGAGTTCAAAAAACACTCCAAAAACCCCTTAAAAATATCAAAACGCATGAACCTAACAACTAAATGTAATGCAACTAAATGACATAAACATGCTAAACAATGATACTTAAAATAATAAATAATAATAATGAACTTTTATGATTTAACTATTTAAGGGCAATCGTGTATTTCTAATTATACAGGATAAAAGAATTTAAAGTTCTTTCATATCTCTTTATATTTACAAATAAATCAAGAAGGATTCATTTCCTTTTGGCCTGACAACAAAACATATTACATCTAATACTCAGTCGTTTTGGTCTGCACTAAAATACGCAAACCAACCACGTCTTAAAAAGTCATTATCATTATCAAATTAAGTTTCCCTTAAAATATTGTTATTTCTCGTAACAAATCATTTTTAATTTTGGAATTGATGAAAATAATTTGTTTCCACATTTTTATATACTATTAGGACGGTGCCAAGATACAGTCTTTGTCTAACAACACATCACACGTATTCTCCCACGCATGACTCGTAGATATTCCCATTGTCGTTTCAGGCCCCCCTCTCCATTGTTTCTTCCGTTCTCTTCAACCCCATTTCCCCCAAAATTCTCCCTATTTCAACTTCTTCCAATTGCTGCTTTCACGTTCACGGTATGATTTCTAACACATTACACACCCTGTTTATGTAATTATTGCTTAATGTGATTTTGATTACTAATTTTCGATCACTGTGGGGTTTTCTTTGAAAGTAATTTGTGGGTTTTGTTCGAAATTAAACTTGTGAATAGGGTTTATCTGCGATCTAACTAGATCTCGATACTGTCATTTTGATGTTGGTGTAGGTCTACAAGGTAACGAGCGAAGAGAATGGCGAGTAGGGTAGACCATGAATACGATTACTTATTCAAGATCGTGTTGATAGGTGATTCAGGTGTTGGGAAATCCAACATATTATCGAGGTTTACGAGGAATGAGTTCTGTTTGGAGTCCAAATCCACCATTGGAGTTGAGTTTGCTACGAGAACTATAGAGGTTTGTGTTCTTTCTTTCTTTCTTTTCTTTCATCCCAAAATTGATGTCAAATGAGTTGATTTTTGGTCATAATGGCGTTATAATCAAATGATTTTTAATGAATTGGAAGTTTGTGGAGATTCACCAATGATATGAGATATGAACACAGGTCGACGGAAAGACGATAAAGGCTCAAATTTGGGACACGGCGGGGCAAGAGAGGTACAGGGCAATCACGAGTGCCTACTACCGAGGCGCCGTCGGAGCTCTTCTGGTGTACGACATAACAAAAAGACCAACCTTCGGCAACCTCCAAAGGTGGTTGCGTGAGCTCAGGGAACACGCCGACGGTAATATTGTTCTGATGTTGGCCGGAAACAAGTCGGATCTGAACCATCTGCGATCGGTGGCTGAGGAAGATGGTCAATGTCTTGCTGAAAAAGAAGGGCTTTCGTTTCTGGAAACATCGGCACTTGAATCGTATAATATTGAGAAAGCTTTTCATACGCTTTTGACGGATGTATATCGGATTGTTAGTAAGAAAGCGTTGGCGGCGAAAGAAGCGGCGATGGGCTTACCGGGAAATGGAACCACCATTGATGTCGGTGATGCGTTGGGGAACACAAAGAGAGGTTGTTGCTCTTCTTGAGCGCCATGTTTGGTGAAGTAAAGATTTGGTAGCAAAGCACATATGTGATTTGTATTGCATTTTTTTTTTAATCTTTGATGAGGTCTTTATAGAAAAATGTTTTTGAAGAAATGTTATTGTGAGATTATTGACATGCAATTACGCACCTAAAATATTTGTGCTCATTGTCCCGGTTTGTACATGTGATTTACACTCAACTTGTTTATCAAACCAAGATCTTGTTATATTAGTAATCATTTTATTTTTTAAAAAGCTTATTTTAATGATTATTATAAAGCTGTACCCACAAATTAGCGCACCAAATCTACATTAGATGGAAGATACGCTCGTGACGTTCCAATTTGAAGTAGCAACCTAACCAAGTATTGTGCCACCTATTAATCAAACATAATGCCCGTGCATTACGACTGTTACAAAACTTGATCGAATAGTTGTTCATGTAATTCGAGCATAAAGCATGTCACACATATGATACGAAGCAAGAAGTATACATTATCAAATAGTTCTACATTCTGATATCAAATCGAGAATTTGTCGCAATGAAAGATCGCATTGAGAATCATGTCATGTCAGTAAAATGTGTGCCTTGATGATAATAAATGAATAATTATTTTCAGGTCGAATCTAGATTATTCATCATAATAATATCAAATAATAATAATGCTAAGACTTTGATTGAAATAATGCATGCGTGGATCTTAACTGGGGTTTGCCCTTTTATGAGCTTGGGAGTGGGGTTTTCACTGTGGGGCAAGTTGCTTTAAAAAGCTACATCTAGCAAAGTGGCAAAACATGAGAAAACGTGCATGGAAAATCAACACACATTTATACCCTTTGCATTTGATACTTTTGGTTTCTTTGCGCTAGAAGCTGTGGAGCTACTCAATAGAGTCCAACGGGTCATTCATAGTAATGTTACGACTCCAATATCTATAGATGTTGTTTTTAAAAAAAGTAGTTGTGTCATCCAAAAAGGGATTGCGACACAGCTTGTTGCTCGTTTACCCGCTACGTGTATGTAAAACTTTCTTTTTTATTAAAAATTGAAAGTAAAAGGTTGATATGTACAAAATCATTACCATTTGTATAAAAATTTCATGTCATATTGGAGTATATTTTATAAAAATGAGAGCTTTTTATAGAATTGTAATGAAAATATTTGTACTTTTAAAATAAAAATTTCCATTTTCATACTTTGTTATGAGTTTTACAATAGATTTTTTATAGAATGTATTATAAATACACTAGAGTATAAAGTTATAAAAACTGAGTATTAGTATTTAAGGTATCAATTTGAATATATTTTAAGACTTTAAAAGTTGGAAAAATAATCACATCGGATTTAACCACTTCCTATAGTTGTTGAGAGCATATTTTTTTGAAAAATCAAGTCCGATAAACCGTCCATGCTTTTCCATGTTGATGCATATTAGTTTTCTTGTGTTGTTTCTATTTATCCAGTCAGTCGTTTTGGCAGTTTGGATCATGACAAAAGTTCCTACGTTTATCTCTAACATTTATATTCAAATTAAGATTTTACATCTTCGTCGTATCTTAAGATCATCATATTAACTTAATAAGATGATTATTGTTTAAGTGTTTGAGAGTATTTGTGAGTGATTCGTATACTCTTGCAAAGACTTTGAGAGTACTATATAGACAAATAATGTACAAGCTTTTTCAAGACTACCTAATAGTCTTAAGTTATTATTAGTGGATCAACCATCAGTGAGTAGCCATTATAGAGTGACAAACTATGAGCTATCCCAATCAAAATGGATTAATATCTAGGTAGAGAGCCTAATCATTATACATTTATGAGTGATTTAGTCCCTTAAAGTTTTACTATTCTATATATTTATATTTTGTTTGTAATATCATAATTGTTTATTGGAAGAAAATGTTGTTTTTTTAAACTATTTTATGTTTAGCTGTATTATCAATCAAAGTATTGTGTTTATTGTTAACTTGTTATCAAGCTTAAGTGTTTGAGGATGATCTTCTTGGGATTAATAGAGAAGAAGTGAAGGTCGAGGTAGAAGACGGCATGGTCTCATAAATAAGCATATAGAGGAACATCGAGGAAGAAGATTAAAATGTTACATAACAATGTGTTAACCACAACAGTGGGAAGATTACCGGGAGGTTTAGGATGTGGAAGGATGCTAAGAAGGATTAGGTCAAGGCAACCATAGAAAACATAGTTCTAACAATTATGATGCTTATGGAGGAAGCGTAGAAGCATGCCATCAAATCTATCAAAATATTTGTTTAGAAAAATCTATGATTCCATGATAAGACTTCAATGTGTGTCTAAACTATCGTGTATTGTTCTGTTTTTGTTTTCAGTACATCTACAAGGTGTTCAATGAAATGCAAGTCCATGCTTGATTAATAACAAATCCAGTCGAATCTTATTTATGTCTTGGTTTGTTTGTAAAGAGTTAACTATCTTAAAGAGGTCAGGTTACCGTGGCTTTTTGGTATTCTTTCAGTAAGGAAGGATATTATGAGAAATGTTCAAATAGTGAAGATGGGTGAAACTACATAGGTATAAATTAAGAGAACTAGATAGATTATAATAACTCAAGTTAATAAATATAAGATGCTTCAAGCTAGGTTCTCGTCTTATATCAACATGTATAAATGTATAAAGTAATTAGACAAACTGAGCATCTAAATGTGTTAAAAGTATTGGTTTAGGTTGCGATTCACATATCCATTCTTCTTGTTCGGGTCAATACGCAGGTTGAATGATCCATTTACCCAGAATATATAATGTGTTGTTGCAACTCATTTGGAACATTACACACTCACAAACGTTTTAGAACACTCTAAAAAACCCTATCGTTCTTCTTCGATGTATAGAGATTAGAGTTTGTGTATTTCTTCTGTGTTCTTGACCTTCATCATATAATAGGCTTGAGTGATTGTATTGAGAGTAGATTAGGTTGATGTAGTGAGGTTTTCTTTTGTAAGCAAGTGAAAATCATCTGTCTATTTGTCCTCACATGATATAATTGATGATGATGTTGGATATCTGTTTCTACGTTTTTTCACAAAATGATTGTTAGATTGCAATGAACCTCAACCCATGCACAAAGGTGTAGGGTACTCTCTCATACTGTTTTTTGATGATCGACAAAGATGACAATGTGGATGTGTTTTACTTTAAGGAGGAAGGAAAATGCGAGGGGGGTGGGGGTTGGATGGTGGGTCCAAACCAATTGAACCATTTGTGCAACAAATCCAACATAAAGGATGCAAATTTAGAAATAAAAAACTTGGACTGAAAATACAACTTTTTGCTAAACACATAGATTATTTATGTAATTTAGTCATCAAACCAATCTTTAGTTTTATAGATCAAATGATTTGCTAGATTCCTATCAAGATATATTAGATCAATTGGATCATACGGTTTAAAAGTGACAAACATAATATAATTCAAAATGAATCTTAAATAATGAACCCTAATAAGGGGACATATATGTAGGTGTATGCATGAGGTCCACACATACAAGGACATACATATGTCTCATAATTATGGTTTTTCTTAGCAACATCCAATCATTATCTTGTGACAAACCGGAAGCCACAATCATATTGTTTATTAAATCATTATATTCCAATTTTTTTCTAGAACAAAGAATGTGTTATCTATTTATGATTTTATTTATGAATTCTCTCATACCTTTATAGTTAATACTATGCAAAAATACCAAATGCTGAACACGTCATTCAAAATAAATGAAAACATTGACATATAAGTTATTAAATCTTTATTATAAACTAAATATATAAAATAAAACATAACAATCAATTGAATTTCTTTCAAAAAATTGTTTTTACGATGGAAAGTAGAACATGTTTTTGACTTGAAACAAATTGTCAATCTATTAGATTATTGTATACTTCTGAAGATATTTTTTCATAATGAATCTTCATTAGGTATGCCAAATAAATACATAGAGAAATACAAACAATAAAATTACAAAGGCCTTGGGCCAAATACCGATGGGCTAAATCCTATTATTATTATTATTATTATTTTTAGCAAATGACAAGGAAATTATGCTACAGTAGTATTTGTGAAAGTATAAAAATATTTTGATTAATTTTTATTTTAAAAGATTTAGTTTTGAAGTCAACACTAAAAAATCATTAAAATATGAATTTAAAATTTGCCATAATCAAAACCCTAGATTTCATTCCAAAATTGAGCCATTTCTAATTAGTTAAATCGAAAGGTAAAGTTTAATTGGGGGAATATTCATGGCAGAACACTGAAACAACACGACCGCCACGGATTCATCGTCCTCGGCTCAAAGAAATTTGATTTTAGAAGGTGGGATTCGGCATCTCCGCCCCCATCGGGGTTGCAGTCGCTGTCTCTATATTCCCCTCCTCACCATTTTATCTCTTTCTGTCAAAAACAATTTTATCATTTCGTTTGTTATTTATTGATCTATCGCCGCTTGTCCATGCGCTCACAACCCTATATAAATCGTCTGGGAACATTGTTTCTATCGTTTTCTTGATGTTTTCTATAACAAACACCATCAACGATTACCTAATAAGTTTTTGTTTTCTCGGTTCATTTACTCGTTTTTGAAAACCCTGGTATTTGGGGATTCTTTTGTGAGAATAAGAAAGAGATAATGGCTCAAAATGGTCAGGGGATAGAGCCTGCTTTACTTGATGATATAATCAATCGGCTATTGGAGTTCCGGCAGGCGAGAACGGTTCGCCAGGTTCAGCTGTCGGAATCGGAGATCCGTCAACTTTGCACCGCTTCTCGAGAAATATTTCTTCAACAGCCTAACCTTTTAGAGCTCGAGGCTCCGATTAAGCTATGTGGTAAATAAAATAAATCCTTCTTTGTTTACATATCTGTACACATCATGTGGTTCTTTTTGCAATTTTCATTTCATTACGTCTTTCATCTGTTTGTTGTTTTGACTTCTGTTTGGAAGGATCTTCTCATTGTTCATGCGTAATATAGGATGAATAGGTGTTTTTTGTTTTCTTTTAGGAGTGTATCCAGGTTAATGAAAGGATCAACCATGTTTGATTGATTTGACAGATGCATATTTATGAACTTTTGTACCAAATACATATGACATAATGTACTTGTGCAATCATATACTATAACAACTGATAATCAATAACATTTACATTATTGTGTTTATGGATTGATAGGTGACATTCATGGGCAATATGGTGATCTTTTGAGGTTATTTGAATACGGGGGATTCCCACCAGAGTCAAATTACTTATTCCTAGGGGACTATGTGGATCGTGGCAAACAAAGTCTAGAAACAATCTGCCTTCTACTCGCATACAAAATCAAATACCCTGAAAACTTCTTCCTTTTAAGAGGAAACCACGAATGTGCTTCTATCAACAGAATATACGGATTCTATGATGAATGCAAACGCCGTTTCAATGTTAGACTTTGGAAAACTTTTACCGATTGTTTCAATTGTCTCCCAGCAGCCGCCTTGATTGATGACAAGATCCTATGTATGCATGGCGGGTTGTCTCCGGATCTAACAAATTTGGATCAAATAAGGAATCTGACCCGCCCGACTGACGTCCCGGATTCGGGTTTGCTTTGTGATTTGCTTTGGTCGGATCCTAGTAGGGATGTGAAAGGGTGGGGGATGAGTGATAGAGGGGTTTCTTATACTTTTGGATCTGATAAAGTGGCTGAGTTTTTGATGCAACATGATATGGATCTTGTTTGTCGTGCACATCAGGTGATTTGAATGTTTGTTGATTTGTTTATGAGTTTTGATTGATTTTGTAATTGTAAATAATAATTATTGGTTTTTGGGTAGGTTGTGGAAGATGGGTATGAGTTTTTTGCGGATAGGCAGCTTGTGACGATTTTTTCTGCTCCAAATTATTGTGGTGAATTTGATAATGCGGGTGCGATGATGAGTGTTGATGAAAGTTTGATGTGTTCTTTTCAAATCTTGAAGCCGGCTGATAGGAAACCAAGATTCTTATGACAGAATGGTGTCACAGAAAAGCTTTTAAGGTTAGCATCAACGATTCTTATATCATTTTATTTTTCAAAACCTTGATTTTGCTGAGTCATATTTATTATTTTTACCAAATCTTTACTTAATACTAATCTTTCTGTATCAAATATTTTTTAATCACAAGTATTTCATATTTTCTAAATTTCTATATCAAGTATATTTATCATTATGTATAGATTATAATATTAACTATCTTTTAAAGTATTTTGTAGTTATATATATATATATATATATATATATATATATATATATATATATATTTTGTCATTTAGAAATTAGAATTAACATGCAGAATGTTTATCAAACGGTTTATTTACTGCATTTCAAACATGTCCTTATGGATGAAATTCTAATTACACATATTTCTCATCCAAATTTAGTCCTTTGCCTTATGTAGTCCTTTTTATTTTGCGAAGATGTTTTTTTTTTCTCCCATTTAGGCAGTGTATCAAGCTATTATGTTATAAAGAGAAAACTGCAAATTCAATCCCTGTGGTTTGATGTTTTTTGTGGTTTTGGTCTTTGTAGTTCCAAAATTGCAAATTTCGTCCTTTTCAGCAGGTTTCATTTATTTTTAATAGATAAATAAAATAAATTATTTTATATATAAAAAGAGGGTAAAATCGTCATTTCATAATATTTAACAGACAGTTTAAATGGGTGTTAAAACCAGGGACCAAAACCATAATGAAACCTACTGAAAAGGACAAAATTTGCAATTTTGGAACCACAGGAACCAAAACCAGAAAAAACGGAAAACCACAGGGACCAAATTTGTAGTTCTCTATTATAAATTTATAAAAGTCAAAAATGCGGTTGAACAATTGTTGTTTAGTATTCTTTTTGCATTTTCCAACCTCATTCTGCATTCTTTTTGTTGTGAGTTGCTGTAAAATCTTGTTATATTGCTTCTAATCATTTTTGCATATGTGATTTTTTTTTTCACATTTTTGCACATGCAGAATCCCCCCCCAATGCTGGCTGCTGTTTTAGTTTTTTTATTTTTCTGTACTTTTTTTTATTGAAGTGTTGCTGCTTTAAACGGGAGTTCCAAGCTGGTGGTATGGAGATATATTCAGATGATCAAGTGCCAAATTTTCAATTTGTCATGATTATCGAATCACTTTTGTTTGTGTGTGGGTTGTTGCCTAATTTTACGACACTGTAAATACATTTGGCGTTGTAAATTTTGTCAACGCAGTAGTTAATTGTTGTTGACTCATGAAATTTCTCTAATTGACCCCTTCGTAGTTTGCTTGTGGACTTATTATCCTAATCGCATGACTCATATAAATCTTGTGTCTTTTTTAATTTGTCTTTGCATCTTATAATTGTGTGTGTGTGCGTGCCGTTCTAGCCCTAACTAAAGTGCAACATATTTAAAGCTTATCAAATGTAATTTATTCATGGAGATTTTTTGAAAGTTGTATTGTGACCCTTTAATGTGTTGTGTCACGAAATCAAATATGAGAATCCAATTGGATGCAACTTCGATTTTTGTCACAAAACAAGTGATCTACTAGATTCATGTAATAGGCTAGATTGTTGGAGACCGAACTCATTGAAAATGTTTTAATGGATAAATACCATAAATTGAAGTTTTGAAACGGTCGTAAATAGTTTTAAACAGTGGTAGTCAGTCTTAGGATCTCGTATCTGTGGCCCCTTTCCAAGGCAGTGCGACCCCTTGACTTCCACCATCCACAGCGTTCGGAGGAAAGTTGCCTCATATACTAAAATCTTAGACAAATAGACAATCCAAAGAGAACGTTGGTGGCTAGTAAGGGAAAAAAGCTTGATTTTGTATAATTACTATATTTCCTTTCTAATAATAAAAATGAGGAAAAAGATTAGATCATTTAAGTGTAATTACGGGATAGATTTTGATTTAGTTGAGTGTAATTAGCACGGTAGGAAACACCTAGAGAGAATTGGAAAAAGATTAGATGATTATAGTACATCAAAATAAAGTCCATAAATATAAGATCCAATGGATATATGCATCGGGAGTGGAGACTATATATTAGGCATGAAAATGTAAATGTCATATCTTTTAAAAAAAGCTATTGGGTTAAATGGGGGAAAATTTTCAACCCCAAAGAAATTATTAGGCAAGTTATGGATGCTCTCGAAGAGCATGATAATTAAAAAAAAAAAAAATAGAGGTAAAAACTTGGTCCAACAACGAAGGTGAGCTATTGGGATCCATTATAATAAACAAAAATTATATAAAAAGAAAATCAAATAATTTCCCAAGATGAACCAAACAAATTAGTTCAAAACCAATTTTTTTTAATAGGTTTCTCTCTAGATTATGATGATAACACGTCTTTATGAGGATATTTTGATAACTAAGATATGGATGGAACATAACTCAATTCAAAAGAACGAAGAAAACTTCAAATATCAACTCCGAAGAAGATGCAATCAACAAGAGAAACCATTACTAAAACTTCAAATCCAGCCAAATCAAATGGAATCTCTGTAGAACTTTTCAGAAGAATCAGACTTCAAAATAAAAACAACGAATTTTCTACAAATAGAAGACAAAAACTACACATTCCGAGGATGAATACAAGTTGATGTACGGATTTGAAGTTCGACTCTTATCTATAAATAGAGTCTTACTATGAAGAGGACAACTAAAAAATTACATATTAGAGACCATTTAAAAGAAAATTTGAAGATTATATTTGTAAAATTTCTAATTTTCTAAAAATATAAACTCTCAATTTCATAGTGATTAAAATTTAAAATAAGTTCAGATGGTTATGTTTGAGATATTTTATCACTTTTTTTTTTCTTGTATTTAAATAAATACAGAATATAAGTTTGTTTAAATACTATCTAAAACTAAAAGACATGTGCTATTTGAGCGCCACGGTTGTTCCCCATTTATCTTCTTCTTGGTTTGGTATAGAAGAAGCGACTTCTATCAACGACGAATTTCACCACCGTTGATTGGAACTTCTACAATTCATCTCCGACGAATTCACTCTCATGTGGTTGTTTTGCCAGGCTCCTCAAACCATCCAGCAATTTCTCTTTCCACTCCGCACGCGCCACCACCCATCTCGACTTCACTCACACACGCGCCACCAGACATCCGTCACTCTCCCCCCTTCCACCACCAACACCAACCACCTAATCCAGACTCTCTGTCAGAAAGGACTCGTCAAACAAGCCATCCAAGCTCTCACTCAAGAGCCTAATCCAACTCAACGCACTTACGAACTCTTAATTCTTTCCTGCGCCATTGCAAATTCTCTCCACGATGCCATTACAATTCACCGTCGGCTTGTCGAAGATGGGTTTGACCAAGACCCGTTCTTGGCAACTAAGCTTATTAACACATATTCGGAGCTGGGTTCAATGGAACACGCGCGCCAAGTGTTTGATGAAATTCCCAACAGAACTATATACGTCTGGAACGCCTTTTTTCAAGCTCTAACACTTGCTGGTCATGGGATAAACGTGTTTGATCTCTTATGCTCAATGAGCACAGACGGGATTAAACCAGATAGATTCACTTACACTTACGTCCTGAAAGCCTGTGTTGCATCCGACACTTCAGTTTCATTGTTACCCTATGGAAAAGAGATACACGCCCACATCTTGAGACACGGGTTCGAGACCAATGTTCATGTTACAACTACATTAGTCGACATGTATGCTAGATTCGGGTGCGTATCACAAGCCAGTCAAGTTTTCAATGAAATCCCTTCTAAAAACGTTGTTTCTTGGAGTGCTATGATTGCTTGTTATGCCAAAAACGGGAGACCCTTGGATGCACTCAAACTATTCAATGAAATGATGCTTGAAGTTCACGATTCAACACCAAATTCAGTGACAATGGTTAGTGTTCTTCAAGCATGTGCAGCACTTGGAGCCTTAGAGCAAGGTAAGCTATTGCACGCGTATATCCTACGAAAACGTTTGGATTCGGTGTTACCAGTTATCGCATCCCTCATTGCCATGTACACAAGATGTGGTGATCTTGAAATGGGAAAACGGGTTTTCGACCAAATGGTTAGGAGAGATGTTGTGTCATGGAATGCAATGATTTCAGGGTATGGAATGCATGGGTTTGGTGAAAAAGCAATTGAAGTTTACAATGAAATGTTGCGTAACAAGATTGATCCTAGTCCTATCACGTTTGTGAGTGTTTTAGGAGCTTGTAGTCACGCAGGGCTAGTGGAAGATGGAAAGAGATTATTTGAATCCATAAGAAAACCTATCATTGAGCACTACGCGTGTATGGTGGATCTTCTTGGTCGAGCCAATAGATTAGAAGAAGCAGCCAAGATTATACAAGAAATGAGAAGCGAACCCGGGCCTAAAGTCTGGGGTTCCCTTCTCGGATCGTGTAGGATTCATGGCAACATTGAGCTTGCTGAGAGGGCAAGCAAGCGGCTTTTTGAGCTTGAACCTACAAACGCAGGAAATTATGTGCTTTTGGCTGAGATTTATGCGGAATTAGGGTTATGGGATGAAGTGCAAAGAGTGAAGAAGCTTTTGCAAAGTAGAGGACTTGAAAAGAAATCCGGGTGTAGTTGGATTGAAGTGAAACGGAAAGTTTACTCGTTTTTTTCGGTTGATGAGTTCAATCCACATGTTGAACAACTCCATGCTTTTCTCCTGAAATTATCAATGGAGATGAAGGAGAAAGGGTATAAGCCCAAGACTAAAGTTGTGTTGTATGATGTTGAAGAGGAAGAAAAGGAGAGGATTTTATTGGGTCATAGTGAGAAACTAGCGGTTGCATTTGGGTTGATTAATAGTTGTAGAGGAGAAACAATTAGGATCACCAAGAACTTACGGTTATGTGAAGACTGTCATTCGGTTACAAAGTTTGTGTCTAAGTTTGCTAATAGAGAGATTCTGGTTCGCGATGTGAATCGCATACACCATTTTAAAGATGGGGTTTGTTCGTGTGGAGATTATTGGTAATGTTTGTAAGCATACTTGATACTCAACTCCTAATCTTTCATATGAACATGTAAAAAAGTTTTTATAAATGAAAATATGATGGTTTTTGAATGTCGGTTTACAAGAACAAGTTTGTGTTGATTGTTGAACTTGAACCTCCTTCAGTTTACTGCACAATCAAAGAGCCCTCTTGCTTCATTTTGAGTAAATTAGTCTCAATGTTGCGTAACATGGGTTTGTAGCTGCAATTATCAATCATATTAACATTAGATTGGAGAAGCTTTCTAGGGCTATTTTTAATGATGAGGGTATTCACGTCTTTTGCATAGACATCAGTCTGAGTCTAATGCATGTCAAATGCAGTATAACATGTTCTGTCATGTCATGTGTAACAAACGGGACAGAGTAAAAAAAAAAAAAAAAAACGTACAGGCGAGCAAGACCGTTGTAGGCTTGAATGGCTTGTTGGAGCTGAGCTGAGAGTTGCAAAACCTCAGCAGACAATGTCTCCGCCTTGCTCTGTTCTTTAGCAAGTTGACCCTGCGTCCATAATTCCATTTGGAAGCACAAATTAATAATAATAATAATAATAATAAAAGTTGATTTAAAGATGTATAATTATAAAGTATTTAGAAGATTATATGACTAACCTTTAGGGATACAAGTTCAGTAGTATAAGCTTCCCCTTCTTTGTTGGATTCTGATATACCACTGTGAATGTGATTCTCATTATTCATAATGGATTCTGTTCTTAATTTATCTAACATGCTACGGAGTTCCTCGTTCTGTTTGAGACAATCTTTTACCTGCATGCATCACATGTAAGTTAAAAGGAAATGTTAATTTTAAAGGAAAACATAAAAGCGTTTTATTATGAGCATTTGACCTGATTTTCCCAATGTGACATAATGTCTGTTGCCTCTTGATAAGCTGATGACAAGTTAGAATTCTCCTCAAAGAGCCTTTCTATCTCGGAAGATTGGGAATCAATCTGTATAAAAAATGTTAGATTATTTATTATAAATGGTGGTTACATTAATAATAGTGTAAATGAATTTTAACCCAAAAGTTTGAACCTCACCTCCATCAGTAGCTTTTGTCTGCTACTTTCTAGCCTCTCAACAGCTACAGCCATATCATGCAACTGTGTCTCAAATCTCTCTTTCTCTTCCTACAATCATCACATACCCTCTATAACAAATTAACAACTAAAAGAAAAATATAATTCACATGAAATTTAAATTCAACATTGAGCATTCAAGAGTAAATTCTGAAGCTATGGAGGATCTAAATTCTAATAGTAATTCTATCAGCTTCTGCTTTTCACTTACCATTGTGAACTGGGCTTCTCTGTCACTAACTCCTGCAAAACAAACAAAAAAATTAAATGTAAACATTATAAGGGGTTTCAGGCTTAGTTTTGTATAAACAATATATTCATCATATAATTTATATGCATGTAATTGTTACCTGAGACCTCTCTTGACATGGCTGCTAGCTTTTCTTCCAACTCTTTTTTCTCAGAAATGATGGCAGATATCCTTCTTTGCTCCTCCACTAGTTGTTGTTGTTCTTGCCTCCTCATCATTCCCTCTTGACGCCTCAGCATTGACTCTTGCTATTTATTGACATGAATATTAATTATTTATTATCACACTCATATTTTTCCTTGAAAACATTTCAAAAACAACAACAATGAGATGGATATAAACTCTCAATCTAACCTCCAGTTGGGTCTTCAAATCAGCAAGCTCCTTCTCCATAGCTTGCAAATCATCTGGTGGGCCTCCTATGGAAGTAATGGTACCACTGATTGCTTGTTGTTGTAATAAATTTAGTTCTGATCTTAGTGCAGCTGCATCTTCCTCAGCCTATTTCAACAGGATTATAAACAATTAACATGCTTTGAATTTCGTTGCTATTTCTTGCATTTAGGTGTATGTAATATGAAATAATAGTTGACTGTTTACTCGATATTGCTCTTCTTCTGCTTCCTTTAGACGCTTCTTAAGTGCTCGTACCTGAGCTGAGAAGTCCTCCTACTCTAAAACATATTTGTTAGTTGTGGAATCTTCATTGAAACAAACAGAAAATGATATGATGTTCATACCCTTGCAACAACTGCTGCATCCTTTTCCATTGCAACATCCTTAAGAGCTCTTCTCAATGAGGGTACAGTATTTTGTTCCTACAATGAATAGCATGTATCATGTATGCACCAACATGTTTATGAATCTATATATTCAATATCACATCCAAATTTCAAACATCTGCAAGGCCATAGAGGTGATTATCTTGTATTCTTAAACACTAGTTCCGCAAACCCAAAAAGCATTCATGGGAAGAATCATAAAATCAAACAATCAAGAACACTTTTGATTGTGATAAAAAGCACATCAAAACTTTAGAGAATTAACTTCATGATTCAACAAGAGAGCATATATTTTCTCAAAGGAAGTAGGAACATACCAGGTCATTCACACGCTTCCGAAGCATGTCATTCTCCACTTCATTAGAATGAAGCTGAATCACAAAAATCAAAAGTTGAGTTACCATCATTGATCACAAAGTAAAGAGTAGGATTCAAGAACAAGGGTGTATGAAGCAAAAAGTTCTAAACCTCTGAGCTCAGTTTTTTGTTCTCTTCATCTAGTTCTAAGTTCTTTTTCTGCAACTCTTGCAACTGTGATACCAAGCCACTAATATCACTCTGCAACAAAATTTTTTAGTAAGAATAACAATTTGAACTTTCTTAAGATCTGCATCATCTTTATCTGAATTATGAATATTATTGAACTAACAAATCATAAATCTTTCCCCAATAGCATATACCCAAAATTTAGAACGTTGTTTACTATTGCTAACGAAACTAGATCACATGAGAAGAATGAATTAAGAAGCAACCTCAGAGATTCCACTTCCGCTTGATGATTTCTTGATTCCAAAGACCTCTGACACCAGAACACAACGCAGATCCAATAAACACGATGTACGATGTGCAAATTGATCTGTAAGTAAGATATAGGATACATAACCATATATTTAACAGAAATGTTACCGCTAGGGTTAGGAGGTATTGTGAGATCAGGTCCAGATGAGGTTTTGCTTAATTTCTGAGCTGCCCTCTTTTGACGAATTTCTTCCAACTGCAAGTTCCATAATTAATCAATTAACACATGTTGTACGTTGAGTGATAACAGAAACTGAGATAGATCGTTTGAATACCGTCCGTCGGCCGAGAGATGCATGATGCGACGCCATTGCGGAGAAAGAAAGCTGGTTGAAGTTTTATGTTTTGACTTGCCGTCGACAGCTACGGCGGTGAAAGGAGACTGAAGTATCGTACATGTAGAAATCGGGTAGAAACCAAACAAGTCGTCTGGGTGGTGTAGTCGGTTATCACGCTAGTCTCACACACTAGAGGTCCCCGGTTCGAACCCGGGCTCAGACATATTTTTTGTTTCAATTTTCTCACGTCAAAGGGTAGGGGCGTAGGGGCGGAGTGGATTCAAGTTGCTAAATTTCAATTTTAAAGAAAAAACTGTAAAATACAATTTCAATATTCCTTATGTTTTCCACAACAATCTTACATTTCTTTTTCAGATTTCCAAATTTTATAAAATCCTCTACAAATAGTGCCGAATGGATTCAAGCCGGGATAAGGCTAAAAAAAGGGGTTCAAACCGAATCAAAAGTAAATTATAGGTTCACAAGGTTGATCACATCTTTGATCAATATCATCATCTCTTCTACTATAATAAATGAAAATAATTTTGCTACATGTCAATCTGTAATGAGTTTTAACACTTATCGTTTTGTCATAATTTTTAAATAAATAATATCCACATATCAATTTATGGTTTTTTTTTTTCTAATTTTTAAAATTAAAAAGCCACATAATATTTATAGTTATATATATAAAGTATCAAATGTAATAAATATTATACTAAATTGAAATTAATATGTTTCTTCATTCTTTATTTCAAAATTTTATTTTATAAAATACTTATTATTTATATTTTATTATTTTATTTTTTTAATCAACCCGTGTAATACATGGGTTACATGAGTTTTTACACCTAGTTTTGTGATATTTTTTAAATAATAATATCCACATGTCAATTTATGGTTTTTTTCAAATTTTAAAATTAAAAAGCCACATAATCTTATACTTATGTAAAGTATCAAATGTAATAAATATTATAATAAATTGCAATTAATATGTTTGTTAATTCCTTATTTCAAAATTTTATTTTAAAAAATATTTATTATTTATATTTTAATATTTTATTTTCTTTAATCAACCAGTGTAATACATGATTTTTACACCTAGTACACAATATAACATAATGTCTCCGTTACCACAATTTCAATATCAAACTCAATACCTTGGCAATCAATTCCCAAAAACTCCAACACAAGATTTTTATAATTAATTTTTGCAAAGTCCATCACCACACTTTTTAAGCACTAGTATACTAAATAAAAAGCTTCATTTTCAACAAATTTAAATGGTGGTTCATCTACAACAAAAAGTTTAATAAAGTCTTTTTAATTATATTTTTATCATATTTTTATCATTCTTTCATGTGTTTACACTTCACTCTCCATTAGCTTCTTTCGTAAATTGTAATGTAGTTAGTTTTTTCATAGTTATTTCGTTTTCCAGTTTTTTTTTTATCACAAATAAAATGTTTTTTAAGCTTGTAAGTTCCGTTTTTCTACAAGATTTTATTTATAAACCACAGAAAAAAAAAACTTGCATTTTGCATTTTTTTCGCTTAACTCCATCGTTGTCATCTATAAATACTACGCAAAGTACTTCTAACAATCAACATTTTATTTTGTTCATTTCTACTTTATTCATCATGTTGAGTATTTTCAACAAATATATCATCATCCTTGACCATATAGCTCCATTAAAATTTAATGTTACAATTGATTACAAACATGAGCATCAGAGCATGAATTATGTAGAGCAACCCAATACATACAAATAACACCATCATCTTTTATGTATAGTATCCTAAAAATTATATACAAACAACACCAAAAAATCCATACATAGCCCTTGTGAAAGATATGATGGATAACCTATTGACCCATGTTCAAATCCTGGCACCACTCAGCCCTTGTGGCCATGGAGGTTCGTCTGCAGTGACTCTAGGGCATGAGGCAAAGCTTCATGTTTGCAGTGGGGGATTAGTCGGTGCGCGAAAGTTGACCCGGAAACCCTCGTTAGGGAAGTTTCCTTTCAAAAAAAAAAAAAAATCCATACATAGCCCAAAAATATGACATAAGGATATTAAAATGGATTCACAAGTGGAAAGTAGTCACGTAGCCCAAAAACTATTGTTATGCTTCAAATATTTGTACAATTGGTATAACATGCAACTAAAAAAAGAAAAGCAACACCCAGCTTGAGTTAGAGCCTAAAAGACCTTTAGTACTTATTTTTAGATTGGAACTCGATTGGATTCGATACTAAAACAACCGTCATTATTTATGACTAGTATAAAGTGTCTACGTCAACGTGGATGTATATCAGGTCATGACCCCACAAGCTCAGATTCCTTTTGACTGTCTGTTATCTTCCTCCTCTCATGTAATTCGTCATCTCTCTCACCTTCACCGCTCCTAAATCTCATCGCCGGCTGGATTCCATGGCTTCCGTCATTGAAGCTGGTTGGACGGTATATTCACTCCTCTTAACCTTCAACTAATTCTCTGCCTTTTGATTTATGTTTACTTGTTTTTTTGCCCTAATTTGATCTCATTGACGGATGATTCTTATTACTTTTTCCCGATGCATTACTTCATACGACATTCTATTGCTAGGAGATACGAATCTCTTAATTCAATGGAGCATCGAGTTTTAGGTTTAGGAGTTAGAACTTGTGATATTGTTTAACTGATAAAACGATGCATTGGTTTCGATTGATACATTGTAGAGAAAGAAATTTTGGATTATCGATTTCAATTTCATGTTAAAGAACTGTTCTTCGCAAATGCATTGTGAATTTACTATTCCTATGACGTACGTACTCCAGATTCTGTACACGATGCATTGTTATGTGTACTGATTCAAATCGGTGTATGGAAGATTATACCGTGACGTGAACTTTAACATAGAACACACAGGTCAATGAACGGATGCAATCATGCAAGGCAGATGTCCTGAAATTGATCTACATTATAGACAAACTGGTTTAAAGTAGTAGCTGATTAAAATTATGATCAAACTGAAGGGATATAGTCCCTCCATTTGCAAATTTTGGTGTACAAGTGGATTATGATAATCACATAGTCTGGACATGAGAATTTTAGCGGATCATCATGAATTCCCTTTTTCTCTGTAACCAAAATGTTAAGAATTAGAATACTAAAAAATAAAGTCTCTTTGAAATGTGGAAAAGGAAAGTCATGCATGAAGGCTTTGCTTTCCATACCCTTTCAAAGCTTAAAAGTATCAATGTTCTGACACTGCTTCTACCAAATATCTAAACCTTAAGATTATATTGTGTAGCAAGATGGAAGATAGTTATATTTATTGACTTATCCTTTTTTATTTTATTTTTGCAGTACTTGATTACCCATTTTAGTGACTTTCAGCTGGCTTGTGTTGGTAGCTTTATTCTTCATGAACTTGTCTTCTTCTTGTCGGGACTTCCTTTCATATACATAGAAAGGGCAGGATGGCTCAGAAAGTACAAAATTCAGGTTAATTTGACTATGGATTACTTTAAGTTTTTACCTCTATTGCTAATCTTTATATTTATAAGTGAAGTTGCTGCTATTATTTGTACATGTTATCTACATTCAATGTGACTGTATTTCTTAATTTTGCTAAGATCAAGTATTGAGATTTTTGTTTGCAGGCTAAGAATAACAGCAGTGAAGCTCAAGAGAAATGTATTGCTCGGCTACTGTTTTATCATTTTTGTGTGAACCTTCCTGTGATGCTTGCTTCCTATCCTGTATTCAGATTCATGGGAATGAGAAGTAGTCTTCCACTGCCGTCCTGGTATTTACAGGTTCTTCATATTATATACCACCAGTACCACTTTATTTGTCAATCAATAGTGGTATGCTGTATGCACCCCAGATCAACTACATCCCCTATGTTTCAAAAATAATCCAACTTTTTTAATCCAAACCTTTTGTCTCTCTTTCTCACCCTTCCTTTTTTAATTTTTCATCTACTGTGCAGGAAAGTTATGTCGACTCAGATTCTATTCTACTTCATTGTGGAAGATTTCATATTTTACTGGGGACATAGAATTTTACACACGAAATGGCTCTACAAGCACATCCACAGTGTCCATCATGAGTACGTGACGTGGGATTGTGTTTTTTATATTTTTGATGATGGAAATGAGGAGTGGGCATTCACGTCATTTTCACAAATGAGAGATCAAAACGAGTCCTTGTTCCATCTCTCAGTCCAATGCATGTCAGACACAGTACATTTTGTTTTGTTGTGTTGTTATTAATTAATAGATTTGTGTAATTTTACAGGTATGCAACACCTTTTGGATTGACTTCTGAATATGCACATCCAGCTGAAATATTATTCCTTGGATTTGCTACAATTTTCGGTCCTGCCATCACAGGGCCTCATCTGATAACTCTTTGGTTATGGATGGTAGTGAGAGTTCTTGAAACAGTTGAAGCACATTGTGGTTACCATTTCCCATGGAGCCCCTCAAACTTTCTCCCTTTATATGGAGGGTTAGCACTTACCATATATATTTAACTTAAATTCACCATTTATTTTCTCAAGTTATCTAATTTTTTTATTTTTTTTTTCTCAGTTCTGATTTTCATGATTATCATCACCGACTGATTTACACCAAGTCAGGCAACTACTCGTCTACTTTTGTTTACATGGACTGGTAAAGATATTATTAAAATTATTTGAACTTTATAAGTATGTATGTATGTTTAATTATTTTGTAATCTTATTTCTCAAAAAATTTGTCAGGATATTTGGTACAGACCATGGGTACAGAAAACTCAAGGCTTTGAAAACTGAAGAAGAGGTAGCTGAGTTTAAAGAGAATTAAATTCAATAAAGGTAATCCCTTTTATATTGTCTGTGATTTCTTCGTTACTGATGTAGAATCAGTTTAAACTTTTTCTATGATGAGTGTACTAGTTTCTTTAATTTCTAAGTGTAATGTTCTTAATGTGGCTATGAGGTTTTGTTTTTAATTGCTTAGACTATTAGACGTGACACATTGGTTCATTTGATTTGATTAGATTCTGGATGATTGGGTTGTAGTGGGTCACATAAATAAAACACTATCAACATAAGGTCGTTAATATAATTTTATAAACTGTCTCAAATCCAAGTTGATAATGTCCCTAATCAAGTCAGATAACTAAATCAAAATAAACATGAAGGTTAATTTTGGTTGAATTTTAAACAAAATATAAAACCCCCCCCCCCCCCCCCCCCCCCCCCCAAAAAAAAAAAAAAATCACCAAGTCATTTCATATTTCATGCAAGGCCTAAGCTTGATCGTTGTAGAATTCTCTTTCTCCACTTGTATTATGTCACAGCATTCTCTTCTGCTTCCCTCCTATAAACAAACATAAAAAAATTTAATCAACAAGAAAATTAAAAAAACATATATATTATTTCTAACCACATTCCTTTTTGTAATAAAATCTAAATATCAAACACACCGTAACAAGTCTCTTCACTGATGAGATCACGAGAATCTTATCCACATAATCGGCCGAGTGATTTCCATTAACCAAGCAAGGCGGCAACCGCCGTGGCAACCTCCGAACATAGGTTGTCACCACCTCCCTCCGCCATCCTCCACCGCCGGATTCTTCCACGAAATAAAAGTAAAAAGCATGAGGGATTTCACAAGGGTCCTGGCTAAGACCTCTAGTATTCACCATGAAAGCAGGCCAACCTCCTTTCTCCCACTCCTCAAATGTTTGAAGGGGTAACTGCATGTGGAAGTTTCCTTCAAACTTCAACATTGGATGATTTCTAGAATACCATTCTACACATGTGGTTTTAA